GCCCTCATCTCCAGCCACTGAGGGCCTGTGCCTTGCTCTTAGACGTGGGCCCCCCTTACCCAGTCCTGCAGGGAGCCCCACCCGTTGGGGAGCTGGGCGCTCCGCGTAGGCTGCAGTGCTGGCCTCGTGGCCGCCTCGGCATCCGGCCAGCGCCTTTAGGCGACTGCGAGAGGGACGGGGTGCTGCTGAGCGCAGTTTCCGCGTTAGGTTGTGACCTTGGGTTTTCGTCTGCTTAATGCTGGTCGGGCCTGTGCTTCCCTGGCTCAGCTCGCCGAATCCTCACAGCAGCTTCTCGTCTGTGGGCGCTTCGCTCCCTTGGACTTTACGTGCCTGGGCCACTACCCAGTCCTGCCTGGTGCCTCGATGTTTTAAAAAAAATTTATTTGTGCATACAAGGACCGGCGCGCAGGCCAGAGTGCAGGGGTGCGAGGCAGAGTGGGGAGCGGGACGGGACCTGCTGAGACACTGCTGAGGGGGCAGTGGGGAGGCAGCTCTGAGGCGCCCTGTGGGCACTCCCTGGGCATCGAACTCGTGCTGCAGAGCCTGTGGACAGCTTCCCAGTGCTGCGCCCTAACCTGTTGTGCCACCGGGGAGGGCCCGGGGTTTCCGTCTAATAGAATACTTCGCGTGCACTTTAACTCCCTGTTGGAGTCGCGAAGACCTGGTCACACCTTGCTGTGTAACTTTCTTTGCCGAGCGCCTCTTGGCTCCTGCGGGCCCGGGCGGAGGGCTCTTGGGGGTTGGTGGCTGAGGGAGGTGCGGCCGGGCAGCGGGGCGTGCAGCTGCTCGGCCCCTCCTCCCCTCGCCGCTCCCTCAGCCTCGGGCAGGTCACTTCCCCTTTCTGAGCCGCGTTTCCTCAGCCTCTTGGGTGTGGTCCCCCCCCACACACAAAGTTGCTTGTGGTGTGTGAAGGTCAAGTTAACCAGTACTTGAGGCGGTTAGTGCTTACGGCGGCCTGATGCCCGCACTTGCTGCCGGGAGCGGGGAGGCAGCCATGGCCGCGCTGGCCGTGAATTCTCCGACCGCGCCCTGGACGCGCTCGCCCGCGCCTGCCGGCTGCACAGCCGGGCGCCGCGAGGTGGGTGTGCCTGCGGCGGGGAGGACGCTGCTCTGGGCTCGCGGGCGCCGGGCCGCAGCCTCGGCTGGAGCTGGCTCTGCCGTCTCCTTGCTGCTGTTTCCGGCAGAGCCGCCTGTCGTCGTCCTGACCTCTGCTCCTTTACGTGGCGGTTCCTTTCCTCTGGCCGCCGCCAGGCCGCCCCTCTTGAGCAGCTGGACTGTGGCGAGCCTTTGTTTTATCTTTGAAGTTTCATTTATTGATGCACACAAGAACTGGGGTGTGGGCCGGGGGTCGGGGTGAGAGGACCCCTCAGAGACAGTGGGGAGCAGAACAGGCCGATCTACTGCAACACGCTGCGGGGGGCAGTAGGCGGGACAGGCGAGGTCTGCCGCGCCCTGGGGCCCCTCCCTGGCCGGGGGTCTGGCCCCCGTGGTGGCTGGTGGTAGCCGATAGTGTGCCCTCAACCCCTGGGGTGCCGGCGGGCACCGTTTGTCACTGTGCAGGCACCTGCTCGCGCGTGTGGCCAGCCATCCCCAGTGGTGCTTGCTGGGCAGGGGCGGGCGGGGGAGGCCGGGCCCGGCCGCGTCCTCAAGAACCACTGGCTGGTGGGGGGCTTGGCGCCCCCCGGGTCTTCCCCTCCGTCCCGGCCTGGGTCCGCACTGCGGCCTCCGCTCGGCAGCCGTCGCGGGTGCGGCTGCAGCTGCGACCTGCCCCGTCGCCCGTCTCTCACTCTGAAAGGCAGCGGTGGGGAGGTGGGCGCTCCTTCCCTGAATGCCAAGCCCCCGGGGAGGCGGTCAGGCAGGGTGGGGGCCTCGGAGCCCGTTTCTGCGCCCCTGTGGCATGAGTCCACGCGCCACCGAGACTCTCGACAGCCGGCGGGGGTGGGCGCCTCGGGCCTCCAGCCTCCCTCACAGAGCTTCCGGCAGCAGGGCTGCACTGACCGCTCCCGCGGGCCAGCCGCGTGTCCTCTGTTTGTTCTGGGCCTTGGGTCAGGGACGGCCCGGGCGCCTGGCCGGAGGCGCCCGTCCAGCGTGCAGGCGCTGGGTTAACTCGGGGCGCGGGCTGCTCGCCGCGGGGCTGCTCGGGGTGTTTGTTCCCCTGTGTGGCGCCTGTCTGTGGGGGACAGCAGCAGCACCCGAGACTCACTGCTAGCTGGCCCTGGGAGGCCTCAGGGCCTCAGCCGCTGCCCAGGGCAGTCATTCCCTCCTTGCCTGAAGGCCGGGGGCGCCGCAGACCGGGCCCAGAGCGGGCTTCACGCCTGTGCCGCGGCCACGCTCGGAGGGCCCCGGGGAGACAGCAGAGAACCCCGGAGCTGCTGTCTTTTAAAGCGACCTACTTATTAGTGCACATAAGAGCTGGGGTGCAGGCCAGAGATGCGGAGGGTGAGGGGACCCACCAGACACGGGCGGGGAGCAGAACAGGCGGGTCCCCTGAAAGCCACTGCTGAGGGGGCGGCGGGAGACAGCAGGGGCCTGCTGCGCCCTGGGGTCCCTCCCTGGCCGGCACCGAGCTCGTGCTGCGTGGCCGCGGCGGCCTGGTGGCACTGAGACGTCTCCCTGCGCCCAGGGAGCCTCATGAGTGACGGCTGCTGATGCCAACCTCATGGTCACGTTTCCCCGGAAACGCACCGGCGTCTCGGCCGACTGCGGGCGCGGGGCGACGCCGGGGCTCGTTGTGGCCAAATCTTTAGTGTCTGGCCCCTTCTCGGGGTGTCGGGCGGCAGCTCTGCCGCTAGTTCTCCCACCACGCGGTGCGGGCCGTGGCCAGGACATGGGACGCCGCTGCCCAGTGGAGGGTGGGTGGCCGCCAGGCGGCCTCCCTTGGCCTCCCGCCGAGACTGGCTCGCAGCCGGCGTGCTCACGAGCCGCCTTGCCGCAGCCCCGAACAGCCTCTCCTTTCATGTGACACACAGGGGCCGCTCAGGACGCGCGATGAATGGTGACACTCGGGCCGCCGTGGTGACCTCACCACCGCCGACCACAGCCCCGCACAAAGAGAGATACTTCGACAGGGTGGACGAGAACAACCCAGAGTACTTGCGAGAGAGGAACATGGCGCCGGACCTCCGCCAGGACTTCAACATGATGGAGCAGAAGAAGAGGGTGTCCATGATCCTGCAGAGCCCGGTGAGAGCCGCCCGCCCGCCCGGCGAGGGCCCGAGGCTGGCAGCCATCGGGAGCTGTTTGTTCTCCTGTTCACTCGTGCATGCCCACACGTTGGCGCTGCCAGAAGCCTTCTTTGCCCAAACAGCCGGCCTCCGGCTCTGGCGGCCCCCGCTCGCGGTGCGGCCTTCTGGAGCTGCTGCGTCCTCACCCGTGCAGCGTGGGCCCCTCCGGTCTCAGTGGCGTCTCGTGGCAGACGCCCCTTTCCGTTCCTGGCAGGGTGCGAGCGTCTCTCGGGTGCTGTGTTGCCTGAGCAGCGGGGTGGCGGCGAGAAAGCCACGAGGCCTCGCGTCCCGCCTCGTTCAGCTCCGCTCTGCGCTGCCCCAGACGCCGGCGGCCTGGAGGCGGCGTCCGCAGCTCTTGGCACGCGCACTGGACAGGCCGGGGCTCTGCTCGGGGG